TTTTCATCTTGCATATGGGTCCTCATCATGAGTTCCTCAAAAAGAAGATGGACTAAATCAGCTGGTCTCCTGATGCTATGCTGTCTTGTGGACATCTTGTGATTGCAGCCATCAGATTGACCACAGGAGCTCAGAAAGGAACCGACAGCACTGTGAGGTGCACATAAAATAACCCAAAATACATAGCAAAAGACCTCTGTACTATTGTCCTTGAAATACTGCGTGCTCAAACACCCAGACTTTATATTTGACAGAAATAATCTTTTTATTTATAATTTAGTTTGAGTTAGCTTTCCAAAAGTTTTACCTCATTTCCCCATCTATTTCAATCCGGCTTTCTATCACAAACACCCACATTCAGTGCCTGCAGAGAAGAATATGGCACATATCCAGCATACTGCTTGTGTTTATAAAGAATGATTGTGAAGAATTAAGTCAAATCAGTGAGAGAAATGGCGAGTGGAACGAATAAAGTGTCTAAAAATGTGTGCTGAATTGAGATGATTACAGCATAAGTCATGTATTTCACGGTGAGATCATGTTGGCTAAATCTGTTTTGTGTTTCTTCATCCAGTGCTCTAGCATGACTTATTGTACTGGCATCTGTTCAGACATGACATATTCATAGTGAACCCCTCGAGAGGGAACACACCCGTGAGGGGTGGAGCCAAGACTAATTAACACCAGACTACCTCGACGCTGAATGCTATCATACTGTACAACTCTTGTTTTAGTAGTATTCCTCTTTGTGATTTACATTTGTGTGTCCAATGCAAACTCCAATGTCCAATGAATGGAGATGCATGACAAATTAGTTGGTCACTCTGTGTGTATTTTAGTTTCATATTCTATTCTATTCTATTCTATTTATATATTTTTGTTTGTTTCATATTTTCTTTTAATATTTTTTGAATTTCCATTCAGGTCCAGGCTGATTTATGCTGCGTAGTTTTGGTTTAGAAATGTGGTTAGTATTGTTTTGGCACTAGTTGGGGCTGGTTTAGTGCAGGTTAGTACTGGTCTGATGCTTGTCTAACTGGTGCTAACCAGCTTAGCCATGTTGTTCACCAGCAAAACCTGGTAAACCATCAAGGTTGGCTAAAATGCTTTGATGATTAAGCTAGTAAATCAACAGGTTCTTGCTGGTTATGTTGGTAAGCTATTGTGATTTTGCTGGTTTGGTACTAGTTATGGCTGGTTAATGCTGGTCAGTATGGAGGATTAGCAAAGTCATGCTGTCCAACAGTAAAACAGCATGGTCTTCTCCATCAAGCTGGTTGACTTTCTGGTTAAATCAGTAAGCAAAGGATTCTTGCTGGTTTAACTGGTCAGTTAATGTGATTTTGCTGATTTATAAGTTTGGTGACTGGTTTATGATGGCTAGTGCTAATCTGGAGCTGGTTCATTCTAAGTTAGAGTTGAGTAGAACTAGTTTGGTGCTTGTTATGGCTGGTCAAGCTGGAAAATGAGCAAAGATGCTGTCCATTAGCAAAACAGCATGGTCTTCCTCGCCAGGCTTTTTGACTTTCTGGTTAAATCAGTAAAGCAGAGGATTTTTACTAGTTAAGCTGTTTAGGTAATGTGATTTTGGTGCTTGGGGGCTGGGTTATGCTAGCTAGTGCTAATCATGAGCTGGTTCAATCTAGTTTAGGGTTAAGTAGTAGGCCTACTAGTTTGGTGTTAGTTATGGCTATTTAGTGCTGGTCAAGCTGGTTGACTTTGTGGCTAAATCAGTAAAGTAGAGGGTTCTAGCTGGTTCTTGCTGTAATTTTGCTGATTTAGAAGTTTGGTGGCTGGTTTATGTTGGTTAGTGCTAATCTGTAACTGGTCCATTCTGGTTTAGAGTTAAAGGGTTAGTTCACCCAAAAATAAAAATTCTGTCATTAATTACTCACCCTCGTGTTGTTCCAAACCCGTAAGACCTTCGTTCATCTTCGGAACACAATTTAAGATATTTTTGATTAAATATGGGGGCTCTCTGACCCTCCCATAGTCAGCAAGGTAACTACCGCGTTCAAGGTCCAGTGTTCAAGGTCCTTACTTTGGGTGAACTAACCCTTTAAGTAGTACTGGTTTGGTGCTAGTTGTGGCTGGTTAGTGCTAGTCAAGCTTGTTAACTTTCTGGTTAAATACGTGAAGCAAAAGGTTCTTGCTGGTTAAGCTGGTCAACTAATATGATTTTGCTGTTTTAGAAGTTTGGTGGCTGGTTTATGCTGGTTAAGTGCTAATCTGTAACTGGTTCATTCTGGTTTAGGGTTAAGTATTACTGGTTTGTTGCTAGTTAACGCTGGTTAGTAGAGATGCACCAATTGCAATTTTCTTGGCCAATTCTGATTTCTGATTTTTTTGCCAATTTTTGCCGATTCTGATTTTCTTTCTAAGAACTATAATTGACAGCATATACAAACTAAAATTAACTTTTTTCAATTCAAAAAAAATATTTACATAATAAAAGAAATGGTTAAACATTACAATTCCCCTAATCTGGACTAAGTTACAGTTGTTCTCTCACTTAAACAACTCTACAAATAAAGTGCTCTATGATTGGAAAGAGGTAGAAATGAGCTGATATATATAACAAAACAGATGTAATTTCCCACTGTTTATAAATTTTTAATGAGTGAGTCATTTAGTCTTTCATTTTGTTCAAATGGCTGATTCATTCAGGAAGCGAGGCAAGGTTGATTTATGCTGGTTAGTGCCAATCTTGAGCTGGTTCATTCTGGTTTACTGTTAAGTTAGTACTGGTTTAGTGCTGGTTATGGCTGGTTTAGCTGGTGGACGAGCAATGCCATGCTGTCCAACAGCAAAAATCAAGGTCTTTCTGCTCAAGCTTGTTGACTTGCTGGTTAAGTCAGTAAAGCAGAAGGTTCATGCTGGTTAAGCTGGTAAAAAAATTGGTCTTGCTGACAAAGAAGTTTGAGCATGCCTATTGTCTGTGTTTACAAAGCAAGATGGGACAATAATTAGTGTTACACAATTAGTGTACCACTATCAATTCGTCTGTGCTTTGGTTGTGTGTACTATCATGTATTTTAAGCTTTTAGCTTAACATAACTGACTGAATTTTCCCTGGTGTAGTCGAGAGATCTTTTGACTCTTAGCAAACCTTATTACATTGTGAATCTAGCACAACTCTTGCATAAAATATCATCCTTTTCCTCATTCAGCTCAGAGAATAAATGTATATAACTAATTTCAGTCTTCTGAATTAAGCGACTCAGTTGAATGGAGCCACAAATTAATTGATGGATGAATGAGTGAATGAATTGATTGATCTCAAGAGAAAGTCGTACAAAAGTTGAACTCGAAATCAACCGCCCCGTTGCGTATTGTGTTTTTGTGTGCGATGGGGGCCTGGAGATGGGGGGAAACGGAATTATGACAGAGGGGATTGAACATGTTTCTTGATCTCTTTTCCCCTATTCTCACTGTGAAATGTCAAATTTGAATTGATTGAAAGGAAAATTACAGCTGTATTATGGGATTTCATAGGGGGAGGGGTGTTGTTTCCACAGAAACTAGAAACTAGCTTCTCAAAGTGCTGTTCTCAGCTAATGAGTAAGCAAAGGTCTCATGTCGAATACACAGTGGCCCCAAAAAGTATTCAGAGACTTAAAAATGGCTGATTGTCAATGCATTAAATAAAATGTCAACCCAAATGGCATTTATTTTAAAGAAAAAAGTATACAGTAGGCCTACTTATTAAGAAGTAGACCTGTATACCGGATTATTTCACGGACATTTGTCAAGTTTGAAGTGATAAAACAGGGGCTTCGGGTTTTGGTGTTAAACCCGCTTCACTTGTTTAAACTTTTGCCAGTAGCAAAAATGGCATTGCAGTAATTTCTTTAAATCAATTCAAACTGTCCATTTCAGTAAAGTGATACAAAACTGATTTAATAGTTCATTTGCATAATCTCTAAAATATTCACAGAAGTGTTGTGCGTTTTACATTTCAGAGGAAATACACACATATACACTACTGTTCAGATCTCTGGGGTCAGTAAGATTTTTTTTAATTAATTAATATTAATAAATTAATATGAATAAAATTAATAAATTTTATTCAGAAAGGATACATTAAAATGATCAAAAGTGACGGTAAACACATTATTTATCAATGTTACAAAAAAGTTATATTTTAAATAAATGCAGTTCTTTTGAACTTTCTAGTCATCAAAGAATCCTGAAAAAAAGAAACGTATCACAGTTTCTATAAAAATATGAATCAGCTGTTTTCAACATTGATAATAATCAGAAATGTTTCTTGAGCAGCACATCAGCATATTAGAGTGATTTGTGAAGGATCATGTGACACTGAAGACTGGAGTAATGATGCTGAAAATTCAACTTTGGTCACAGGAATTAATTGCATTTCAAAATATATTCATACAGAAAACAGTTATTTTAAATTGTAATAATATTTCAGAATATTACTGTTTTTACTGTATTTTTAATCAAGTAAATGCAGCTTGGGTGAGCAGAAGAGACTTCTTTCAAAAACATAAAAAATTTGACCCGACCCCAAACTTTTGAACAATGTTTCAATATTAATTACGATTAATGTTAATTAAGGAAAAAAGTATTATGACACTTGTGAAACGTGAGTGAATCTTTTTGATCCATGAACATCACTCTGCTAGGACACCTGAGTGATTGTATCATTTTTGCCTAATGTTTTTGGTGATTTTCAGTGGGAAAAGTAGTGAAGAGAAAAGATCCTACAGCATTTGAGCACAGAAGACACTTATGTGATCTTATTTCATATCAGACATTTTCAAGCATAGCATCAGTGTTGAAATACTGGGGCTGCTGTACGCATCTGAGGTGCACCAGCCTTCGTTTGGGAACAATTAGAGGAATTTTAACCCTTTAGTTTCCGAGTCAGCCACTGCGCACATTACTGAAGCCCCTTCATCTCCCCCTTTCCTCTGGACGCAGCCCGTCCGCGAGAGGCTGACTAAGATGATTTCTCTCTCTCTCTGTCTGTCTGTAAGGATTGCATTAAACAGATCTGAAGTCTATCGGATGCGCTCCTCTGGAATGAGCCCTTGCTGACACCTTCCTCCTGGTAAGTAGACTCTTTCTGTCCTCATCTGTCCATCTGTGGACAAAACTATCCACTTCCTGTGAGTCTTTTCATCTTGTTGCTCTGTGCTTTCCTTTCTTTTTTTGGCATGAGAGCAATTTTGCCCACGTCTTCCCTCCCTTCGTGTCCATCCCGTATCTTTTCCAATTTCGTCCTCTCTCTCTCTCTGTGCTCCATCCCGTCTTCCCTCTCTCTCTGTCCCCTCCCTCTCTCCGTGTCTTTGTTGAGGTATGCTGATAAACAGTTTGGCCGTCATCTCCAGACCTCCCCCATTGTGTCCAGTTCTTTTTGTTCTCTCAGCCTTTGGCACTGGCCTGTGTGTGTGTGTGTGTGTGTGTGTGTGTGACTGACCACTTCAAGTGTTTGTCTGAATAGATGGAGCTACTATGCAAGAATTTAGCCGTATTGTCCATAGTGTTGCAGCATTTTGATTGTTTTTGTGTCTGTGTGCCTTTTTCTCAGTTCAGTTGAGTTTCATTTCAGTTAATCTGTTTTTGTTGTCATTGGAGTTAATCTTGTCATTTCTGTTTGCTTTTTCTGTATATTTCTCATAACTTATTTTAGATTAGTTATATTTACTTGGTGTAATTCTTTTTCATTTCAATACAATTAAATTAGTCTTTGTTGTCATGATAGTTCATTTTGTTGTTCCGTTCTATCTGTGTGTCTCTATTCTGTTTCTCTCAACTCTCATTTTAACTCAGTTTAATTTTAAATTAAATCATGTTCATGTTCATTGCTGTCTTGACAGTAATTTGCACTGCAGATATGGAGACATAATATTTTGAAATAGCGTATACTGTAGAACGTGCATTGCTAAGACCTATAAATATGAAGGTTTGGGGTCAGTATTTAAAAAAAAAAGGAAATTACATTGATCAAAAGTGGCAGTAAAGACAATCATAATGATACAAAAGATTTCTATTTCCAAAAATGCTGTTATTTTCAACTTTCCATTCATCAAAGAATCTTGAAAAATAAATGTATCACGGTTTCCACAAAAATATGAAGCAGCACAACCGTTAAATGCACAACATTGATAATAATCAGAAATGTTTCTTGAGCAGCAAATCAGCATATTAGAATGATTTCTGAAGGATCATGTGACTCTGAAGACTGGAGTAATGATGCTGAAAATTCAGCTTTACATCACTGGAATAAATTATATTTTACAATATATTCACATAGAAAACATTTATTTTAAATTGTAATAATATTTCACAATTTTACTGTATTTTTGATCAAATAAATGCTGCCTTGGTGAGCAGAAGAGACTTCTTTCAAAAACTTTAGATTTTTTGTGTGTTTCTTATATGAATTTAAATTGATAAAAAATTATTATTAATTTTGCAGCATTTATTAATCTTGGTTAATGATAATGATTCTTTATTGTTTATTAATTTATAAATTCCTTTAATGTTAACCTATACAGCATTTATTGTTAAAAAGTTAACTGTTATATGTAGAAATAAAAATAAAACTCACTATTGCATTAACTAACATGAATTACTGTGGAAAGTTTTTACAGGAAAGAAACTGGAAGAAACTTATTTTTGTTTGTTTTGAAAAGTCTGAGAAATGCTACAAATATAAATAGGGTGGCTGTTGGATTTATTTCATAAGACAGAATTAAACAGAAAACCTAAACAACCATGATAATGAAAATTCATGCATCTGCAACTTTGAGTCTAAGTGCATGTTGTCCATTATTCAGGGCCAGCCGCCGATGTGCAACGATTCATAAACAAATCTGCAAATTTAGAGCTGTGAGCTGTGATTTTAGTTTCAAGCTCATAACGTTAGTTTAAACATTCTTTTTCTCTTTTATATCTGCTTGAATATATTAAATTATTAATACACTGTTGAGAGAGATGCTTCTGTCACAAACCTGACGTTGTCAATGAGGTGGCAGAGAAACAGATGGTCAGATGGACAGAGAAAGGGAGAATGAGTGAAACGTGAATGGCGTGAGGATGGACACAATAAAAGGCCGGTCTTGTTGCCGTGCTGTTTAAGATTCTGCCTGGTGTCGGGTCCGTGGTCAGGGCTGAGTGAAAGTGCTCAGCTTTGGCGGATGACCGCGTACTCGCTCAGAGCGCCCGTAAAGCTCAACGGACTTCATTCACGTGCTAAAGAGCCTCTGCTTTGACAGATAGTTGGCCGGTCGCACAGAGGAGGCTTTCACGCAGAGACAGTGAAGGAGTGGAAGGTTTAGGGGAAAAAAATAGCAAACAAGGACGCATCTGAAAAGGCAGACACTTTCAGAGATACAACAAATATCCGTGGAACTGCTAATTTTTTTTGGATCTGTCTCACCGTACATCTATCTCAGGATGCTCAGGTTGGCGTTGGCTCTCGGCGGCAGAGGTTGCTGGCCCGTATTAGGGCCCTAACTAGGGTAGTGCACACTCACAGACCTCCAGCTGTGTGAATGGGAATACAGTTCATTCGGGGTCTCTTTTAGGGGATAAAGGTTTCGGTTGTGTGACCCCTTTCAGCGCAGTGTTAATTTTGACAGGCTTTTTTGATTTAGTCTTAGTCTTTATCTTGAAACGAAAATGCTTAATAGTCTTAGTCACATTTTAGTCATTTGAGTCTTTCATAGTTTGTCTAGTTTTAGTCGGCGAAAAAAGTCACTGCATTTTTGTCAACTTTTAGTCATTACTTTTAGTCAAACTGCTAGTCAAACTGCAGTTACCAACATTTATTTTGGGTATATGAGAACTGAAGAAGTGGAGCGTGAGCGAGAGAGAGCACTTCTATCAGCGCGATTCCGCCTATCCCGCCTTCACTAACTTTAAGTTAATCGACAACGAATTGTGACTCCTGGGAAAAACGGGACGTCTGGTCACCTTATCTCTACCCCTTCGGGTGCTGAGGCCATTGCTTCAGATCGCTAATTCGCATTTTGGTAGCCTATCCATATCCTGCGGCCAAACGACCCTTATCCGATTGCAATCCAATGACAGGGACGCACATTTTGAAGGACAAGACAGTAGCCTATAGGATGTATTTTGAATGTCCGGTAGTCCTCAAATAACATAATAGTCTGGTCTCGTCTTGTTAACGAAGACGCGGCATAAATTTCGTCATAGTTTTTATCATCAGATATTAGTTTTAGCTTGTCAACGTCTCTTCTTAGTCACAGAAAAAATGTTCGTTAACGAATATTTTTCGTTGTTTTCTTCGTTGACGAAATTAACATTGTTTCAGCGTTTAGAGAAATGCTAAGAAATGTTTAGAGAAAAGGGTGGCCGGGCTCCAAAGGGCAAAAACTTTTTCTCTGTGGGCAATGTTTGTTGAGAAGTATCTGGTATTTTTGTCAACGAGTCTAGCTAGGAAAATGAGCTTAAATTACATGCACTCTGCAAATGATCAAGACAGAAGGTCTTCATCCTGTGCACATTTGAAGACAGTTTCTTGTTTTCTGTAATTTTGAGAATGCTTTACATGAGCAATCACAGACTACGGACTTCATTCATGAAATGCACACAGAACGAATTTCTCTGTAAATCATTCATAAACCATTCTTTGGAAATTGTTGCACTGAATGGAATGTGACAATTTATGTAAGGATGGTTTTACAGATGATTTATACAGAAAATTGTGCTTGCATTTCATGAATGAGGCTGTAGATGCATCGATTACAAGAACAACATGCCAACAAACAACATGGACTTTCAGTCGCTTTAAAAGAGACAATTTTGAGGCTCTTCAGATGAAATATCATACACACAAGATTTCTCCCACAATATTATTGGCTGTAACTGTGTGCACACCTTGTGTGATTTGCTAAAACAATCCCTAAATAGCTGTTTTTCCTGTATTTTTGATAAAGTAAATGTAGCCTTAGTGAGAATAAGACTTCTTGATGGTGTATAGTGTAAATTTACACTTTAGTAGTTTGTAGTGTATATTTTATTATTTTTACAGCATTTATTAACCTTGGTTAATGATAATTTATAAATTGTTCTTTATTGTTTATAATATAATTTATAAATCAACCCTCTACATTGCGAGTAAATCACTCTATGCGCGCTACATGTAAATGATATTCTTTGTTGTATTTTGCTGTCAAAATAACGGAGGAAAATATATTGTTCTTATTAGCAGAATTCGTATCATTATTATCTTAGTATCTATTATTATTTTTGTTAGTTTTTCCACAATTAAAATTTTTTTTTACAGAAACACTGAATGACCAAAAAAGCACCACCACCAGTCCGAAGTTCAGTTAAAATCACTAATATGCATTCATACATGGTTATCAAGTTTTAATTCTAACTACTAAAGTTCTATCGTTAAATAATATTGATTATCATATTATAATGCTTGACTGACTGATGTTAAGAGTGTACTTTCAGATATTTATAAAACTGTGCCATTTTACAAACAAACATATATATATATATATATATATACAGTATATATATATATTTATCAGTCTGGCGAGTAAACAAACAAATTTACTAGCCAATGGCGATTCAATTGCCAAGGTGTTCGTAGAGGGCTGAAATTCACCACTTCATGTTGGTTCATTGACTTTTATTTTTATTATTTTTAATGAAAGGGTATGAAAAAAAACATTATTTGAAATTGCATACGTTGACTTAATATTCACGATAAGACTCTAAATGTGCGTTAAAAAAGTCTCTTGAACAAAATCCATAAAAATGGGGCCAAATGTACTGTTAATATGAAGGAATTTTCTGAATTACGCATTGCATCATGTTGTGTTTTAGAGTTGAAGGAGATGCCTGTAAATTCACCAGTTAAGGATTTCATTCTAATTTGGATTTCATTTTGACTTAAAATTAAAGTTACCAAAAGTAGAGGCAGAAGTTATTATATTTAATGAAGGATTATGAAGAGAAACATTTTTTCTTTGAAATAATGTGTACCAATGAATCACTCACAGTTCAGTAATGTGTATTAAATAAGTCTATTTGATTTCATAAGGACTTTAACTAGTTTAATAACTA